TGTCTTTTTCCAACCACAGTATATTCTCTCAAACAAGTTAAAAAGAAATATGATGTCAAGTGGCAATGGTTTTTGTTTTGTTCTTTTTTATTTTGAAGTCTTGATAGGAACAATGAGGCTTGCGAATACTTCACAAGTAGCTCTTCACTTGGTCCATTTTACATGATTTTGAGTAAGATTTAAGTAAAAAAAAAAGCTATTTTTATGACTATATTCTTTAGCAAGAGGATTTATTGTTTTGATTAAGAGGGGAAACTAAATCTTAGTAAATAATAATATTATTAATAATTTTCAATTCCATAGACATCTAAACAATTATCGGGTGTGCTAATAAAAAATAATGGTAGAATAAGTGGGTGATTGTTATATACCGCTTCTGAAAAAAATCTTAAAATGCCTAATTTACTATAAAACAATTGGTAGTATATGTTAAGTTCTACTGTTTTATACACAAAGGACATAGTACTTTTTTAGATGTTCATTTCAGTTAACCTTCAGGGAATGAAAAACTGTAGATTTTTAAAGCACTATGATAAATGTTTGTGCCAAACTTGTATGAACATGTAAGAATTAATTGCCAGCTGTCTACCTGCAAATGCCGAAATTGCTACAAAGATTAGCGTGTGGGGTTTTTTTTTTTTTTAATGGCATCAAATTCAGTCGAAAATCTCCATGAAAATGTAACACTGTACGTGTCACTCTCTTATTGGCAGGACTTAATTTTTAATATCAGGATATAAGTTAGATAAGGCAAGCCTTAAGACTTATTTGTTCCTTAATGAATTCTTAACATTTATAATCTAGATATTTCTGTGTATGGTTAAAAATGCCTTTTAAATATACTCCATTAAAATGGTTATGTGAGTTAGTTCTAGGTTTGTTCCAGATGATATTTTTTTCTTTTAGGCGCTTCTATTAGAAAGATTATAGTAGTTATTTTGAAAATGGTGTGAAGATACATTTTGGCAGGATGTGTCTTGCCCAACCAGTTTATTGCATATGACTTCAGAATTGTCAGAACTACTTTGTTTTTTCTTCATTGTCCAGCTCACCTACGGTGGATAGTGTCCCTTAGTTCTCTGCCATCGCTCACAGGGGCTTTTCTCTTGTTTCCGTGCAGCTTCTTTTCAGGATGTTTTTGTTAAAGGGTCTTTACTTTCGACCAACACTTGAACTGTTGTTTCCTGGCATTGCTCAAGTATGTGATGATTCTATGTTCCTTCCTTATTGAAACCTCCTGGCTGTGCCTCCTATGCTGCAAGGGTGACAAACTCAGCTGCCTCTATGAGCAATTAATGTAAATTAATGCAGATCTGGGTGTTTGTTTGTTTTTTAAGCAGCATCAAAAGTATATGGAGATTTTTAAAAATTATGCCTGGCTGGTATGGCTCAGTGGCTGAGCATCAACTTATGAACCAGGAGGTCATGGTTCGATTCCCACTCAGGGCACATGCCTGAATTGTGGGCTTGATCCCCAGTGTGGGGCATGCAAGAGACAGCTGATCAGTGATTCTCTCTCATCATTGATGTTTCTATCTCTCTCGCCTTTTCCCTTCCTCTCTCAAATCAATAAAAACATTTAAGACAATAAAAATTAGAAAGGGCATGTCCCATCTACCGCTATTTCCCCTGGGTCCCAGCCTGAGTTGGTATGAAGGAACAGAGGCTCAGCTGTCATTCCTTCATTATCAGTGTTTACTATGTGCCAGGCATGTAGGTGCTAGGGATAAGACAGTAAATTAAACAAAAGATAGCTCCTCTCCTGGAGCGGACACCAACTCTGGAAATTTGAGCCCTCATGGTCACACTAGGGTTAATGATATTTACTATTACCAGATTTTCAAATCTAACAAAGATCCAGATTTTTTTTAGTGAAATTCTACTTTTTAAAGTGTTAACTTTATTTTGAAGAAACAAACTCCCTGTTGAAATTGTGTTTACCTGTTAGCAACACTAGCCTACAAAATAATATTTGAATATCTAACTCTGAAATACCTCCTCACCTATACTTATTTTTCCAGCTTGAGCTCCATCTACTTCTTTTTTTTTCCATCCTCTATTCACAACTGACCGTGCCTGGCCCCTTCTTTCTTCTATTACATCTTATGTATTGTACTTCTTGCTGGAATGCACTTCCATTCTCCCCACCCCACCCTTTCCACCCCTAGTCAATCAGTACTCACTGACAGCCCAAATGTTTCTTTGTAAGCTGACCCTAATCTCACTGTATAGAATTACTCGTTCTCTGCCAGTATTCCACAGTATTTCCTACATTCTCTCATTAGAGCGCTCACCAAAATGTTTTATAGACCCTGAGCCCAAAGAAGCTATAGTTTCATCTTTGTATCCTGAGACTCTAGCATAGCACTTTATACCCAGTCAGTGCTTCCTAAATACTTGTAGAATGATTGGCCAGGCCTGACATCTGGCTCTCTGCAAACCAGCAGTGGTGGTAACCTGCACAGAGATGTGCACAATGAACAGATACTCACTCTATCGGTAGAGGCTTTGTTTCACAAGTAAACAATCTTGATGTAAAAATTATCATTTGCTTTTAAATGGTAGTTATCAACTTCTGTATCAGATATAGCCGCAATAACTACTTAGGTCTTTGTACCAAACTCTTCTTACCTCTGACCCCACCCTCCCTGGTCCCATCACACACATCCACCAAAATTCCTAGAATGGCTATATTGGCTGCTAGTGCATATGTAATTTATAAACCCAGACTTGTCACATCATAGCAGAAATAACCTCTTCCCTTTGTACTCTAGTTTTCTTATTTATTGCTTTCAAACTACGAAGGTATATTAAAAGGTAGGTGTGGGGTGGGGCAGCAATGCAGGATAGACATGAGGAGCAAACTTTATTGAGAGGCAACTGAGTGGCAACAACGTTTGAGGCACTGCACGTGTGTTGTCTCATTATTCCTTTTAGAAAATATTCCAGTGAGTTAGGTAGAATTGTCCTCAATTTAAGGATGAAGAAAATGATGCTGAAACAGGTGAAGTTACACGCCATAAGAGAATTCTGGATGCTTATTTTGGACAAAGAGTTATAAGTATTACTAATTCATTATATACATTGTCCTTTTTCAACAGTTTTCTTCTTCTGTAAATTCAATACTGCACAAAATATATTATTTTTACTTGTATGGTAGCTACTAAATTTAGTCTTTTAAAACAAATTACAAATAGGTTTTCCAACATGTCAGACTTCCCTTTTAACAGAGGTTTTGTAATGTCCTGTTTAGTATTCTGAAGTGCAATTCATATAAGCAATTACCTATTTATCCTCTATTGGTCCACTTACAGAAGGCAACCAATTAATGTCTCTCTTTCATATCGATGTTTCCCTCATTCTCTCTCCCTTCCTTTCTCTCTCTAAAATCAATTTAAAAAATCCTCTGGTGAGAAAATATCTATCTCTATCTATCTATATATCTAGATCTGTATATCTATATAAATATGGGTATAGATATAGATACATATGAATATGGATAAGTCTAATTATTTTAATTGTGATGCAAATAGTTATAAGCAGTGTACCTGTTACTGATATGTTTTTCAAAAATAGTAACTATTGGTAAAGTTCCAAAGTATTGAAACTTTCTTCTACTTATTTGATAGTTGAATTTCTGGAAACTTGGCTTAAATTAAAACTGGAAAACATATTTATGTTTATATCTAAGATAATATTAGATTCTCTACTCAGATGAACAATAGCAGAAATGTCATCTAATGAATATCCACTGAACTCCTTGAAAAGCATGGAGGATGTGGGGCAAATACTCATTTTCAGGACTTCCCACTGGTGAACATCCATGGACCTTGCCCACTACATTTCATATGCTCTCCTCACCCCCAATTATTGAAACAACCTAAAATGCCTTTAAAAATTTCTGAAACATTCTCTAAAAGGGCAATACTGCTCTCAATGATCACCACTTTTCCAAATCTTCCAAACCAAAGTTAGCATGTGTTTTATTAAAAAATTGATCATTTCTTATGTTTAAGACTCTGTGTGTAATGCATTATAAAATAAAAGTATGTCAGTACTGATTCCTTTCTTCAAGGATTTAACAGTATAAAAAAGAAGATGGATCACTTGCATATATATATATCTATATATATCTATATATTTAATGTTGAAAATATTTTTTATCAAAAATAGGAAGATGACGGTGAGCTGAGAACACATAGAGCGGTCTCACAAAGACCGTACTGCAGAAAATGAGATTTGAAAGCTGTTGCTGTAACAGTGATTTTCAACTGGTGTGTCACAAGAATTTTTAAAACATGCAATACCTGACTATTTAGTCAGGGACACTGACCTCTTTTCCCTTAGACTGTCAAATAAAAAAATGACAACAGCCAGCATGACGATAGCTATCTGGTGTGAATGAATCAAGATTATACCTTTTGTTTTTGTCAGGTTGGAAAGTTATATATTTTTGGTGTGCTCCAGAATTTTAGTAATCAGTTTGTGTATGCCATATCTCATACACAAATAATGAAAAGGGTTGAACATCGCTGGTCTATAATGAAGGTCCCATCACGTTGCATCACAGATGAGTAAAGGGAGCCAAGGAGCCTAACTAGCATGAATGAGTTACTGTCAGAAAGTAATGGGCAGTAACAGCAGGAACTAAGATTGGAGTAAGGCTGTCAGGTCCAAATGGAAATTAAATTGAATAATTCATGAATTGAATGTCAGAGATGGTTGCTTCATACAAAATATTTAAGGTTTGAGATGGCTATTTAGTGAATTTGGAGTTCACTAATAGTAAAATGAGAGGGCTTAAGATAAGGGACTCATGTTTCTTTAGTTTGGAATGCATTTTCAGTGTGTCTCCTGTTTTGGGGAATATTTGATTGTATTTACCCAGTTAAATCTGGGACGAGCTCATAGCTGTGGTCCGTAGGTTTACTGCACCCCAGACATGAATTGCCAAAATGACAGGTCATGATGTTGTGTCTCTTCTGTCTTTCTCTTTGCAGGTATGATTTCGTAGAAGTTGAGGACCCCAGTGACGGGACTATATTAGGGCGCTGGTGTGGTTCTGGGACTGTGCCAGGAAAACAGATTTCTAAAGGAAATCAAATCAGGATAAGATTTGTATCTGATGAATATTTTCCTTCTGAGCCGGGGTTCTGCATCCACTACAACATTGTCATGCCAGTAAGTACCACTTAGAGATCTGCTTATTTCATTAGCTCAGTTATTTGTTTTTGTTCTTTTTCCTTTTAAACTGGAGAATCGAGGAAAACAAAAACTTTTCTCTGGCTTAATTTTTATTTTAATAAATGTCACTCTAGTTATCACAACTTGAATTTCATCACAGTAGTTCATTAGCCATGTTAAATACGTTTTCAATAAATGAAATAAACTGTGTTTTGTACAGCACTTAGACAATTGTAACAAACCCATTACCACCTAATTCACTGTTTGGTATTTCAGTGGTGATGAGAAAGTAGTAGGATAGATAGAATTTTCTCTTGAACAAAATGAGAAATTTAGTGTATTTATTATCCTTATCACTTAGGCATCACCATCAAAATTTGGATTATAGAAATTCTTCCTGAGTTAATTTTAAATATGGTCATATTAAATAATAAAATATAATTTTAGTTTTCTAGCATTTTTGTGACCCTTTATTATATGACTAGAGGCCTGATGCACCAAATTTGTGCAAGAGTCGGCCTTGCTTCCCCCAGCTGCCAGCACTGGCTTCCCTCTAGGACTCGGGACTTGGGCTTCCCTCTGGCAGGCCAGAAGGTTGTCCAGAAGGACGTCTGGTCTAATTAGCATATTACACTTTTTTTATATTACTAGAGGCCGGTGCATGGATTCATGCACTGATGGGATCCCTCAGCCTGGCCTGCGCCCTCTCGCAATCCAGGACCCCTCTGGGGATGTTGGACTGCTGGTTTCAGCCTGATCCTCACACTGGCAGTCCAACATCCCCCAAGGGATGTAGTAGTTTGTGAAGTGGCAGGCAGACAGGGAGGAGCCCGAGCCTGGGCCAGGTACCACACCGCTCCTCCGTTCATCCTGGCCCCATTGTGCCTGCTACCACCGCTGGCTGCCACCACAGCTGAGCTCGCCAGCCAGTGAGTCCGGCTTCTGGTCCCCATCAGTCAGCTGAGCGGCGCTTCCGCTGAGCGCACTGACCACCAGGGGGCAGCTCCTGCTTTGAGCGGCTGCCCCGTGGTGGTCAGTGTGCGTTATAGCGACTGGTCAAACGGTTGACTGGTTGAACAGTGATTCTAATGTGCATCCAAGGTTGAGAACCACTGCATTAAGGGGTCATATCCTTTTCTGCACCCACCAAAATTTATTTTTTAGTTGTATTGTTTACAAATATGTTCATAACATACTTTTATCATTTTATCTCTTAATAAGATAAACAATAAATATTAATTTAAAAAAATGTGTTAGTAAAATAGATTTTGAAAAAGTGTTTAGCTCAATTTTTCTACTTATCTTAATATTTATTCTGATTAAATAATATTTATGGCTTTTGTGCCACCTCCCTACCAAAAAAGATTTTCAAATTCTCATTGTAATTTAAGAAATATATTTTTTCTGATTATAATTACTGTATTTTTAGTTGTATCATGATTTCTTTCACCCTTATTTCATGTATTATTTCAAACATTTGTATCTGCTTATTGCACTGAAACAGAAATATTGAAAATTCTTTGATATTTTTATCCCATTCTTATAATAGTAAATCAGAAGTACTTATATAAATATGATGATGTCATCTAGTATAATTTTTAAGTATGACCAATTACAGTGTGGTGAATGCTAAGGTGGAGGTGTTGGGTGGAGGTGGTGGGTGGAGGTGGAAGAGGGCATAGAGGACATAAATGTTGATGGAAAAAATAAAACAAGTAAATATAAAATCCTATATAATTAATATCTTTAATGATTTTAGCTATTTAGTAAGTAATTTGGAACGCAACAATGGTGTTGGCTACATGAATTAGCATCCAGCCAGTGAGTCCGGCTTCTGGTCCCCATCAGTCAGCTGAGCGGCGCTTCCGCTGAGCGCACTGACCACCAGGGGGCAGCTCCTGCTTTGAGCGGCTGCCCCGTGGTGGTCAGTGTGCGTTATAGCGACTGGTCAAACGGTTGACTGGTTGAACAGTCGACCAGTTGCTTAGGGTTTTATATATATAGATAGATAACCTTTTGCATTTTGCTAAATGCTACTCTTACCTTAAAGATGTGAAATTTCTGATGGCTCTAATTTTTAAATTCATATATGTTTTTTGAAATGAATACATTGCAAAGTTAGAAAGCCAGCACTATCTGACATTAATATCATTTTAATAAAATTATTTCTGAAATTACCTAAAAGTCCATCTCTTATGTGATATTTTACTATTTTTCTCCCATTAAGGCAGTGGTTCTCAACCTTGGATGCACATTAGAATCACCTGGGAATCTTTTTAAAATCCTGATTTCTGGGCCTCATCCTCCAGGCCCAGAAATCAGGATTTTAAAAAGATTCCCAGGTGATTCTAATGTGCATCCAAGGTTGAGAACCACTGCCTTGGGGGATGTCCCACAGCCGGTTCAGACCTGATCCCACAGGAATCCTTGCGGGATCAGGTCTGGCAGCTGAGGTTAAATCAGAAGTACTTATATAAATATGATGATGTCATCTAGTATAATTTTTAAGTATGACCAATTACAGTGTGGTGAATGCTAAGGTGGAGGTGTTGGGTGGAGGTGGTGGGTGGAGGTGGAAGAGGGCATAGAGGACATAAATGTTGATGGAAAAAATAAAACAAGTAAATATAAAATCCTATATAATTAATATCTTTAATGATTTTAGCTATTTAGTAAGTAATTTGGGAACGCAACATGGTGTTGGCTACATGAATTAGCATGTAGATTCTTGAATATAAACACTATGCATACAGCCAGGTAGCAATTCATGAGAATTCATGAGTCAAATCAGAAAATATGGAATTAATGCTTGACTTTATATATTATATTCACATTGTAATGTTAGTAGAAATTTTCCTTTTTGATTGCCCTTACTCAGACTTGTGGAATATTTTTTTTTTAAATATATTTTATTGATTTTTTACAGAGAGGAAGGGAGATAGAGAGTTAGAAACATCGATGTGAGAGAAACATCGATCAGCTGCCTCCTGCACACTCCCCACTGGGGATGTGCCCGCAACCCAGGTACATGCCCTTGACCGGAATCGAACCTGGGACCCTTCAGTCCGCAGGCCGACGCTCTCTCCACTGAGCCAAACCGGTTAGGGCAGGCCTGTGGAATATTATTTAAACAACATATTAAGAAATTTAAGTATAATTTAAGATACAGCCAAGAAACCAACAATGAAATCCAAACTGAAGTTTGAAAATGATAATTTACTCATGTACTAACAGTAGAATCATTTATTGTCTACTATTGAAGTTAAAGGAGATATCTCTAAAATATATGCTCTAAATTATATTGTGAATCTTGATCAATGTCATTATACAGATTATCCTATATAATAAAAGGCTAATATGCAAATTGACTGAACTGAGGAACAACTGGTCACTATGATGCACACTGACCACCAGGGGGCAGATGCTCAATGCAGGAGCTGACCCCTGGTGGTCAGTATGCTCCCACGGAGGGAGTACCACTCAGCCAGAAGCCGGGTTCACAACTGGTGAGCTCAGTGGCGGTGGTGGGAGCCTCTCCTGCCTCTGTGGCAATGCTAAGGATGTCTGACTGACGTCTTAAGCCTGTTCCCCAGAGGAAGTGGGCCTAAGCCATCAGTTGGACATCCCCCGAGGGCTCCCAGACTGCTAAAGGGTGCAGGCTGGAATGAGGGACCCACCCTGAGTGCATGAATTTCATGCACCAGGCCTCTATTTTAAAGATAAAAACCCAGCCATAGAGCCTAGATGAGTTCTAGGCACAATGGAGGTTCTGTATCAGTGCTGGAATGCTAAGTTGATCATACAACTCACCCCAGCTTCACTAACAGAGACACCGTTTTTATCTGTAAGTGAATATCAGATTTATGAGCCGTGAGATGAGATAAAGAACCAGAAGGGTCTATGGTTGGTAACACCCATCCTCGAGTAAGAAGGGCCCTGCCACTTGGTATTGACCTATTACCAGAGATTTGCTGTGACTAACACTAGAAACGGCCTGAATTTGAGAGACTTTAGGTGAAACATGTAGCACTGATTATGTAATTAAAATTAAATTCAGTACATATGTAAGTAGTTATTGAAATAGCTTGATAAATTATAAATATAGAGTTTGGTGGGATGAAAATTGACATTCTCTTGGTATCTATGGAAACATGTTTGGCATGGCAACTAAGTTGACCTGTGATGGGCTGCAGAAAATGGAGATATGTGGAGAAATAGCTTTAGGGACCTCATATAAATGTGCCTTATACGTAGAAAAACAGAGAACATGATGGTAGGGTCCTACATTGCCTAATAAGTGTGACTTGGTGTTTTTAATTTTCCATATTGCTTTCTGGATTATTGACATATGGATTTTACAATTTCGCAAGCTTTCATTCTTTTGAGTTTAAATTGATTTTGACAATTTATTGGCCAATTCCTCACCTATCCCACACAGCTGCAGTCATTCTACAGTCAATAACTGCCCACAGAAAGAGCCAGATTTGATGAGCAACAATTTGAAAAGTTATTTTGCTCTTAAGCCTTGCACAGTGTTTTGAGTTATCATTGTGTAATGCTAAATGATGCTCCTCCCTCCATCCACTCCCCCCAACATTATTACTAGCAGGGCAGCAATCCATCAGTCTTATCTGTGTATCAATGAATGAAAGCCTAAGGGAAGAAAGTTTGCCTTCTGGAGAAGAGACTTAAAAGTTCTTGTGTCATTTGCTCAGGGGCAAGTGCCCCTTCAAGCCCCCTCCCTCCACCCATCATCTCTGATACTTCTTTTACGTGCCAGCGATGAGCTTCTTACTTAGCACACCCAAATCCCCAGAGGCAATGGTCTCAACGCAAACCCACCACTAGGACCTTAGGAGCCACTGGCCACAGTGCTTTCTTACCTTGCTCATGATAAAAATGATATTAACTGCACATCTTTATTGGGCTATAACTTCCTACTTTTAGGTTTGTTATGAAATGCCTAGTACAATGGCAGACACATTGCAGCGGCTCAC